GGGCACAGCGGGTGTACAGACCCGGGAACTTAGCACAGGGATGGGGGGAGCCCCTCATAACGGGCACAGCGGGTGTACAGACCCGGGAACTTAGCACAGGGATGGTGGGAGCCCCTCATAACGGGCACAGCGGGTGTACAGACCCGGGAACTCAGCACAGGGATGGGGGGAGCCCCTCATAACGGGCACAGCGGGTGTACAGACCCGGGAACCCTGTAACAGGAAGTTATAGAACATTGAACAGGGATTTTCGCTTTGTTACATGTTGCAGGTTTTGTCCTCGCGCTATCTCACACTGATATCTCTCTCTGGAGCCTTGAAGGGAAATGCCGGAAATAAACATGAAGTGAAGTTTTCCTCCCAGGGGGGGGCCCAGTGACAGTCTGACTTCCTATTACGATTCTAATTACAGCCGAGGAACAAGTTGTCACTATTTTCTCATTCTGCTACATAACGGCGAATTGAAGGAACGAATCAAGAAGTTACAAAGTCTCTCCTGTCCCTAAATGTCTCCAGTAACGGCAGCAAGAAATCAGGAATTCTGCTCATTATTATCTCTGCAGAGTTTTAGGGCAGAAAGTTCTACATTCCTTCATGTCAGTCCCGGGAGCCCCAAAACCTTCTGCAGTTCCTGTCATTGGATGTCTCTGCACCTTGTATGAGGGGTGAACTCCTGAAAACAGGAACTTCAAATGACCTTTAGTTCACTTCAGTATTCCTTTTATCAAATTTGAATTCAGTTAGTGCGATTAAGTCAAATTTGTCTTTTTCGGAGCTGCAACACATCAGTGACGTGGGGTACCTCTGGTTCCCGGTGAGGCATTCCCCTACCTCGCCCCCAGCATGTCCCGCCCCTAAAGCCCCGCCCCCCAACCCGGTCCCCGAGCTGGTGTGAAGGAGGGAGGGAGGAGACCGAGAGGAGCCTCCCTGTCCCTCACTTGCTCGTCACTGCTGAGGCATCGAGATTTCAGACCAATGGCGTTTGGCCATTGGTCCAATCCATCCACAGAGCTCACGCCCCTAATACAGAGTAGAGGCTGTGACAGCTCTTGCCTCAATAGTTAGGTTACACAAGCTCAGCTCACTTGAAGCTGACTGCTTTTTCCTCCATAATACTATGTAAGGCTCTGCCTCCCCTGACCGCTTGTGCCTGCAACACATCAGCTGAAAGTCTGAATCAGGCTTGCAGTGGCAGATTGCACAGTAGGAGTTGATGTCAGATGGAGCTTCTTTGAGAGAGCTCAGACAAGAAATGGAAGAGTAGTACAGGGAGAGAGGGGAGCACTAGGAGCCAATCAGGTGTCCCGTATCCACATATGCTGACAAGGGACCTGGTGAGGAGCTGAGAGAACAGAGAGATGACTTTATCAGTATTCTCTTTCTCCTTCACTGTCCAATCACAGGCAGGGGATGGGCGGGTGACAATTCTATGCTGCTTATCTGCAGTAGAGATATGCCAGGTCACAAGGCTGGCAGAGTTGTGTAAATCTCAGTGCTAGGAGTCATCCTTGACTCGGACCTCACCTTTCTTCCCCACGTCCAATCACTATCCAAATCCTGCCGCCTTCACCTTCCTAAAATACGCCCCTTCCTCACCAATGACACCGCAAAACTACTCATCCACTCCCTTGTTATTTTCTCGTCTCGACTATTGTAACTCCCTTCTCATTGGCTGACCTCTACACAGGCTCCTCCCCCTTCAGTCTATCATGAATGCTGCTGCTAGACTCATTCACCTAACTGAATACTAATAATCACTTACAAAGCTATTCACAACTCCGCCCCCGTCTATATCTCCAACCTTGTCTCAAAGTATCACCCTAACCGTCCGCTACCGTCCCCTCCGCTCTTCCCAAGACCTCCTGCTCTCCGGCTCCCTCGTCAGCTCCTCCCATGCTCGCCTCCAGGACTTCTCTAGAGTCTCTCCCATCCTCTGGAACTCTTTACCCCAACCTGTCCGTCTATTTCCCACTCTGACTGCCTTTTAGGCGATCCCTAAAGACTCATCTCTTCAGGGAAGCCGATCCCACCTCCACCTAACTGCTCAACAATTCATCCCCACACAGCTCCCTCCTCATGTATCACTGGCCCCTCCCCTTTTAAATTGTAAGCCCTCAGGGGCGGGGCCCTCCTCACCATCTTGTCTTGAATTGTATTGTGATTGTAATGTCTTCCTTACATTGTAAAGCGCTGCGCACACTGTTGGCGCTCTATAAATCCTGAATAATAATAATCTCAGTTTATTCTGCAGTTTCCTTTTCATTTTGTTATTGTTACTCTTTGCGTTATCTTTGTGTTTTGTTACAGTGACGTTCTGCTCCTCCTTTGCGTTATCTGTATTTATTTTCTTGTTCATTAAAGTTCAAACATCTCTTATAATGAAGAATGTGAATGTGAGGAGCGCTGCGCGCTGTGAATGGGGCCGGCAGCTGGGTCATGTCGTAGTGGAGGAAGCGCTCCGGATATTATTATTCTCTTATGTGAAGTTCCACCATCAGCTCCGCCGGGAGGATGGAAACAGGAAGTTCAATCATCATTACATGTTCAATGGAGACTCTTAACCCCCCCCGTGTAG